CTTCTATCCGTAATCTCCCATCCTCTCTCTTTTTCAAACCGGACCTGATTGGCCACCTGTACCAAGTGTTTCAGGAGCGACAGCCGCTCCTCTGACATCTCGTCATGGGAGTACTTGCAGAAATTTAACCCTTTCCGGCAACGTCCTCGGAGGTAATAATCGAAACAGCAATTGTGGAACCCTGCGTCCCTTAGTGACTTCCTGGAAGCATTGTCCCAAGATTTGCCGGGCTCCCAAGTCCCTTCCAATGCTATGTCATCGTTGTGAAGGTACCTGCATGCAGTCCCATATTTACAACCACCTTGATTGTAATACAGACACAGCCGACCTTTTGACTCACCTGACGTAGGCTCACCCTTTGATGCACCTTTGCCAAAATTGTACTTGGCCCGGAAGGCTAAATCCTCCCGCTCCTGCTGTGCCTCATCCACTGTACCTTCCTCTGTGGGAGGGTCACCGATGTTCCCATCCTCATCATCAGCTTCTTGGCTATTCTTTGGATCAGTTGACCCTCCTCCTGGCCAACCTTCACCATAACGACGATGCTCATAGGAACACTCATCACCATTGCGACACCTTCCCCGATTGAAGAACTTGCACAGCTTGCTGTAACCAGGTGACAACACAGTCTTTGGTGTCATGTAAGCCTTTTTGTACTGGTCAGGGTCCATGTAGGCTTCCATTGGCTTGTTCTCCCTTTTGCTCATGGATTGCACTGCACCATCAAGCTCCTGCAAAAATAGCTTGGTGTCCAACCAAAGCGCGTTCCAAAACTCATCTTCCCCTTGATTCAGCACCGTTGCCACCGCTTCACCCACAACTGGTCGAGAAAATCTCCTTTTTTTGCATGCCAGTTCGAAAAGCGCGTTGTGGTACTGCTTTCGGGAAAAAGTGGTTAACTCCCCCAAGCCTGTGCTTTCTGTACCATCAGGCTTCCAACCACCATTTTGCAAGATGCCATACGCGCGCCGAGCTTCCGCATTGAGGAATGCCTGATCTGCAACACACTCCTGTAAATCTTCCATCGGGCGACCCAACAGCATCCCTGTAATTTTGCCAACATAGGCTTCCTCTTCGTTTCCATTCTCCAGAAGAGCTTTGTAGATCTTTTCTCCATAAAGTTGTCTTTCTTCTCGTTCTTCAGAGGATAACTCTTGTATCACAAGCTCCTCATCGGATTGCTCTTCCTCCTGTTTCCAGTCCCATTGACCGTTGGAATCTCGGTACCACTGACCAACATACCATGGATTCGTCCACCACGTACTCCAGCCGCTGGGTTTCCACTTCCGCAGCGTTGAGGAAGAGTCCTCCACGTCCTCTTCCAAAACCAGAAAGGTGTCCAAGATTATGGTACCATCATCTTCCACTAGTTTCACTGTTCCATTGACAGTATCACCAAATCTGAAATGGCACGTATTGTTCCCTTCTGCAGGAATCAATACATTCAAATCACCATGGTCCAAAAAGGCTCCATACCCATTGATGCAGCGCACTAGACCTATGATCTCATCTCCCTCTTGATAGCAATGTGTCCCAGGTGATTCCAAGGCTCCCGCTCGGGGCACTTTCTTTGCGTGCTCTTCAGAAACCACCTCTGTATCATCGGCTCCTGGCGCATCCTTTGTTTTCACCTTTGAGTCACACTGCTCGTCCTGCTCCACGAGTCCCACAAGCTCATCTTTTTTGTGCTCCTGGACTTCAGGACCTCTCTTTTTCTCCGCCAAAGGCTTTGCCTCATCTGCTGTAATTCGCTCGGTGTCGACTTCCGGCGAACTTCCAGACGGCAACACTTCTCCCTTCATGGGAGTGGACCCATCATTGGAGTCCTTTGTCACACCTTCCGCAGCAGGCAAATCTTCCTCCACTGCAGGGCAATTGAGTCGATCATCCACGGCAGGCACGCTTTCTTCCACCGCAGGATCCTTTGGTTCCATGGCTTCCAAAGGAGAATTTCCACCATCATTGACCACAGCTGCCTCATTGGCTCCGGTGTAGCCCTTGTCATTTCGTTCCTCGCTGCTAACTTCAGGTTGCACCAGTGCGTCCACCTGTGAACCTCCATCATCAGCTGCTGCGGAGACCTGCGCCCCATTGTTGCAGTCGCCCGTGGAACGTAACGCCATATGCACCTCAACCCGTGCTTCCTTCGCACTCCAGGTAATATCTGGCGCATCGACCCGCGCATCATTGGCGCTCCAGGCCTCATTTTTCAGATCTTCTGTGTCTCCAGCTATTCCAGAAGCTTCTTTTTCCCTTTGAATGGCAGGAACCTTGGCACCAAACGAAGAGACCTCCTCAGTCGCAACACACGACCTTTTCCCTCCGTCTTCCAAATCTCCAGGACCACATTCCCGAACGACAGGTACCACATCCACCACTCGATCTTCTGCAGCCGACACAGTTCCGATCTCCACATTGGGAATCTTTTCTTCTGGACCTACCGATTCCACCGCTGCCACACCCTCAGAAAGTGCTCCCATTCCTTCCCGATCCAGATGTTGAGCTCCAGCGATGTCTGTTCGGTTTCCAGGAATCTCCTCCTCATCAGGAGAACCCGAGGTCGGGGCGTCACCACCAGCCCTAGGACCGCTATCCCTGATAGTAGAGGAAAAATCTTTTTCACCTAAACTATTTACACTACCCTGGAATGCCCTCGTAGACTCAGTCTTCGGAGTAGAGGATGAAGAATCCAGTGCCGCCTCCATTTCCAGCTCATTGCCCGAAGGAGACCCAACCACCTCGTCACTCTTCATCTTTTCACCTACCACCGGCAATGTCCACTTGCTTTCCTGCGTATCCAGGCAGTAATAATATTGTCTCCCATCTTCATGGAGGTGCCATTCCCACGTTGTCCCATCGCACGCTTTGATCAGATGCTCGTCTTTCCGAAAACCATCCCTTTCAGAGACCTGTCGCATCTCGTCCTCTTCTTCGGACAACTGTCGCAACCTCTCAGCCTCCATCTGTAGGATCTCCTCCTCCCCCATGGCGTATCCAGCAGCAGGTGCAGCTTCAAAGCTGTCCGCACCCTTCTGTTCATGACCGCTTCCACCACCTTGGGAACTCGAAGATGGATCCCTTTTGATCTTGTTCAGAGGCCTCCTGGCCGCTTGCAGCACTTCTCCAATCAGATCGGTCTGAGACTCTTGGTCTACCATTCGACCCGAAGTCGAAGACGACGGCTGATACCCGTGTTTGTGCAACACTCGTAAAACAGTCACCTCCATTTCACGATCTATACCACCAGTCGCGTCCCAGTTCCTTTTCTCACCAGGCTTTGGCGATACAGAAACAGCACGTCCTTCAGCTTCAGCATTGCTAACCATATCCCTATTGGGATTCATACCCACATTGGGGCTTTCTGCAACCAAGGCCTCTTCCAGATGTTCTTCAGCGCCGGGAATCACCTCTTCCAACACCGATCTTTCACCCAGAGACTCAGCTGCACCATTTCCAGCTCCACCATCTTGTCCACCATCCGAGGCAAGTTGGAGCCATCGCTTCGGAGAAGGCATTGCTTCTTGATCCCAAAAACCTTGAAAGAACACTTAACCGCAGGGAACCTAATTTGGGCTCATAACCTACGGGGGGACAACCAAGGAAGGAAATCAACTCCCCTAATCGCCCTGAACTTATATTTCCCAGATCGAACCAAGAAACAACCAAGAACACGGATAAGAGCAACAAGGAAGGGGCACCCTTACACAAGTAGAGGGGCACTAACCCAACCCTCACTCCCAAACACGGACTTTTTTCTTTGGACGGACTGGCCATCCTTGAGCCAAACATAGTTTACGGGTTCATTAACCCTTTCAACTTCCAACACTAACTCCTTTCTACAATACCAATTGCAGCTCCGCATAGGGTTTAGGGTTTAGGGTTTAGGGTTTAGGGTTTAGGGTTTAGAGTTTAGGGTTTACGGTTTCGGGTTTCGGGTTTCGGGTTTAGGGTTTAGGGTTTAGGGCGTAGGGCGTAGGGCTTAAGGCTTAGGGCCCAATGGCCCTATTCTACGCGGAATTGAGCACAAGAGCCAGAAGTCCTTGGATGGTAAAGAAAAATGCCGCCCTAAACCCTAAACCCTAAACCCTAAACCCTAAACCCTAAACCCCAAACCCCAAACCCTAAACCCTAAACCCTAAACCCAGGAATTTCAGGGTACAGCGTTTTGTAAGGGCCTCTGAAGCCTCCGGGTTGAGGGAGTTGGTCTTGGGGTAGGTACATGGTCCCTTCGTATGGGCCCTTACAAGGGTTTAGGGTTTAGGGTTTAGGGTTTAAGGTTTAGGGTTTAGGGTTTAGGGTTTAGAGTTTAGAGTTTAGGGTTTAGGGTTTAGGGTTTAGGGTTTAGGGTTTAGGGTTTAGGGTTTACCTCTTAAAGACCCGAAACAACCCAAGGGCCCATACTTCAGTAAAGGACCATATCAAGGGCCCATATAACTTCGCATTAGAGTTGGGGCCCTGCCAAACCCCTAGACACTCAACCCTAAACCCTAACACCTAAACCCTAACACCTATTTTGGGGCGGCGTGAAAAGGACTCCCCTGGTCGCGCAGTGAGCTTCGGACATCCCTCCGGCCAGCCAGGGCTTAGGGCTTAGGGCAAATTTGAGGGTTTAGGGTTTAGGGTTTAGGGTTTAAGGTTTAGGGTTTAGGGTTTCGGGTTTAGGGTTTAGGGTTTAGGGTTTGGGGTTTAGGGTTTAGGGTTTGGGGTTTAGGGTTTAGGGTTTAGCAAATTGTAGGGACGCGGGGCAAAGTTTAGGCTTCGGGGCAAAGTTTAGGGTTAGGGATTTTGGCTTTTGGGTTCAGGCTGAGGGCTTTCGGGTCTCGGGGTTCAGGGTTTTAGAGTTCAGGGTACCTGAAGCCAAAATCCGCAAAGAAGAAGCCCCCTAAACCCAAAACCCTAAATCCCAAACCCTACCCTAAACCCTATACCCTAAACCCTAGACCCTAAACCCTAAACCCTAAACCCCAAACCCTCAGCACATCGAGATGGAGGGAGCTCGCCTCACCCTCTCGGCGAGGACTTCAGCCTGACTGCTTCAGAGGTTGCTAGGGATTATAGGGTTTAGGGTTTTAGGGTTTTGGGTATAGGGTTTGGGATTTCGTAGGGCTGAGAAAGGGTGTAGGGTCTTGGAGGCTTTCAGGCTATAGGGGTAGAGGGCTGAGGGTTCAAAGGTTGGGGTGTAAGCCTTCGGCCTAGAGGCCTCTTGGCATCTGGTTGTGTGGGAGCCGATTCTTCTCAAGTACATCAGCAACCACACTCCCGGAACGACGCCGATCGAAACTGTATAGTTTTTTCAGGCTCGTGCACAAAATAACTGGCGAGTTCAACAGGCTGCTTTTCAGTCTCATGCCAAAAGCGAGATGTAGCTAAGCCCGTAGGCACCTCGCACGCCCCTGTTTAGGGTTTGCGGCGTAGGGTTTAGGATTTAGGATTGAATCTCTACGGCGACAGAGATTATCATCCCGACGCTTTCCTTACCGAAGCTCTTCGGAAAGTGTCACGCTGAGGTACTTTAGATGCCTAAACCCTAATTAAACCCCGTAAACCCTGAACCCTGAACCCTAAACCATGAACAACAGCCCCGAGGCTTCAGACGACTTCAAGGAAAGGACGTTGATGTGCTTCATTATCTGCAGCGCTGTATTGCAAGCCCGCAAACGTCGCCTTGACTTGGTGATGTTTGCCGGTACAGTCTGGGGACACAGGTTTGTAGAAAAAACACACATAGGCGTTCAGGGTCGAGCTGCCCTTTAGGTAGACATGCGAGGATCAAAAAGCCTTCGGCCACACGTGTGAGGGGCCCGAAAATATACCCGAAACACGAGGCGCCAAGGCCTTGGGGCGCCCCACGGTCTGGCCGAGCGTGTGCCTGGCCAAGGGTGGTTGCCTACGAAAGGATCCCCACAAAGACTCCATGGAGAAGGACCTGTATTCGAAAGATGCAGGGAGCCTCAGGGAGGCCCTAGGGAGGTCTTATGGGGTCCTAGGGAAGGGAGTCTTTGGGAGGGGGCCCACATATATGCGTCGTCCTCTATGGAATCGGGTCTTTGGGTTGATCATTGAGGAACCGGAATTGGGGAAACGTTTTGCTTAAGTTGCAACCCGGGTTTACGAAGTAGGGTTCGGTGAGGTCTGGGTCTGGGGGTTTCGGGTCGGAGGAGAGGGTTGGAGGTTCATGGGTACGAAAAAAATAGGGCTACAAGTACCCCAAGTAGGGTAAGAACCATAGTTACCCTACTTACCATCCTAGTTCTTCCCAAGTAGGTTTTGCACTTCGCGCTTCGCGCTTGGCGTTTAGGGCTTAGGCCAGCGCCGCCGTGCATTCTTTACCTTCTTCTCATACTATTATAATACGGGGGCTTCTTCATTCCTTTCCTAACCCTGCTTGTTGTTCAATTGAGTTCATGCGTCATTCATATCTTCACTCCTTATGACTCAATTAAACAAGCAAAATAAGAGAATTAGAATGAAGAATCCAGTAAAATAGTATTACGGGCGAGTGAAAAGATCTTATGTTTGCCCGTGTTAGAAGCCCAAATTTCAAATACAAATGCACGCGTCATAAATTCCTTGTCATTTTATATCAGAAACTGAATGGTCTTTTAGTATTTTCGTTCACTCATTTCGTGCACGCATTAAATCACCAGGGGTCCGATAAGCCATCCTGAGGGAAGGTACATGGTCCCTTAATCTGGCCCCTTGCAGTTTTTCAAGGGGTTAGGGTTTAGGGTTTGGGGTTTGGGGTTTAGGGTTTAGGGTCTATGGTCTCGGGTTTAGGGTTTAGGGAAATAAGTTGAGCATGAACTTGCCGATGCTTTAGGTTTTAGGTTTAGAAACTTATCCTGCTACAATGGGGTCAAAGACATGGACTTCGCTTTTTGCCTTCGCGCTGGTTTCTGAAGTTTACTTAAGACCGTGAACGCTACACTGACAAAGCTGGCCCTGAAAACCCTCTGAAAATAGTCCGAAGTAGGACCCTCTTAAACCCAACAGGGTTTGGGGTTTAGGGTCTACACAGAAGCCCTGAATGCCGACCTGACTTTTGAGAAAAACGGGCCACAAAGGCAGCTGACGATTGGTGTTGCTGATGCAGATGTCGTCCATATCAACCAGGGTTAGCCTGGAGCTCCCATGGGTTCAGGGTTTGGGGTTTTAGGGTTTAGTGTTTTCGGGTTTGGGGTTTTAGGGTTTAGGGTTTTCGGGTCTAGGGTTTTAGGGTTTAGGGTTTTAGTGTTTAGGGTTTTCAGGTTTAGTGTTTAGGGTTTCAGGTTCCGGCTTTATCGTGGAGAAGACCATCGAGAATCGCCCCTCAAAGGGACAAGTCTCAGCTTGACACTCCTCAGCCCTAACCCCTCTAAGCCCCTAAACCCTAAACCCTAAACCCTCAACCCTGAACCCATGAGAGCTCCAGGCTAAGCCCCACTTTTTGTGGCTTGTGGCTTTGAGGCCGGTGGCTTTCGAGGTCCAGGTCTTAGGCTCTCTAGGCAGTTCAGCTTTTTTGGTGGTTTAGGGTTTAAGAGGTGGCTTAGGGTTTAGGGTTTAGAGTTTAGGATTCAGGGTTCAGGGTTCAGGGTTTAGGGTTTAGGGTTTTGGGTTTTGGGTTTTAGGTTTGGTGATTGGGCCGTCGGCTAGGCTCAAGGGCTGGGGTTTAAGAGTTCAAGGTCTAGGCATGAATCCCTACATGAGCGTTCAACCTGTGAAAACATAAACAGACCCTATGTACACCCAAACCCGAAACCAATGAAGCCCTAAACCATCAACCCCCACAGCCCTAAACCCTCAACACCAAACCCTTAAACCCGAAACCCTCTCACCCTAAACCTTAAACCGTAGACCCTAAACCCTGAACCCTGAACCCTAAACCCTAAACTCTACACCCCAAACCCTAAACCCTCCAGAAACCTGGCACGAATCTGGGTTCACGAACCCACCAAGGCCGCTCCTGGCCAGGGCCTGTTCAGGGCTTAAGGGTCAAGTTTAGGTTGTTAGGGCTTAGGGTTTAGGGTTTAGGCTTTTTTTTAACCGGAATCGCAGATGCGCAGCAAGAATGCTGTCCGGTCGGCGTGAAACAGTGTCCTCCTCCCCATTGTTTGTCCATCTCCAATTCCCTCCAACTCCCCCACCTCTCCGTGATCGCGCTCAAGTCTCGGCCGCAAACACCCCAGCCTCCCCACCATTGTTCTCCACGCCGTCGGACACCATGTTGTCTCCACCACCCATACCACCTCCACCCAAATCATCAGTAGCCGTGGCATCATCCACCCCCAGGGCCAGCCCCTCCAAGGCGCACGCATGTCCGCGTCCAAGGTGCCCACAGCCTTTCCCGCGTCCAGGCCGCACATACGTCTTGTTTTCATTGGTTTTTTACCAGGTATTTCGAAGCTTTCGGATTCCGGAAACCTTCTCCAAAACAGTTTTCTTGGGTTGAGGGTGGCTGTTCAGGGCTTTGAGAGCGCGTGCAGCTTGGAAGTGCCGCGTGCAGCTTGGAAGTGGCTTTAGGCTTCAGGGTTTAGGCTTTAGGCTGTAGGGTTTAGGGTTTAGGGTTTAGGGTTTAGGGCTTAGGGCTTAGGGTCCAGCGCTAAGGGTTTAGGGTTTAGGGTTCAGGGTTCAGGGTTTAGGGTTTAGGGTTTAAGGCTTTAGAGGTAAGGGTTGAGGGTTTTGGGTTTAGGCTTTAGGCTTTAGGGTTTAGGCTTCAGGGTTTAGGGTTTAGGGTTCAGGGTCTAGGGTTAAATTCAGGGATCTTGGCACCCAAACGAGCCCGACGCTCGTTTGGGTGCCACGAGTCGGGGAGGGTTTTTAGGGTTTTTAGAATTTAAGGGCTTAGGGTTTAGGGTTTAGGCTTCAGGGTTTAGCCTTTAGGCTTTAGGGTTTAGGGTTTAGGGTTTAGGGGTTCGGGGTTCAGGGGTTTAGGGATTAGGGTTTAGGGTTTAGGGCTTAGGCTTTAGGCTTTTGGCTTTAGGGTTTTGACTGGGATCGTCTCAAAGTTGAGGGTTGTCTACAGAGGGTTTAGAGTTTAAGGGTTAAGGGTTTAGAGTTTAGGGTTTAGGGGTTTAGGGGTAAGGGTTTAGGGTTGGGTTTAGGATTTCGGGTTTTAGGCATTAGGCTTTAGGCTTCGGGGTTTCGGGTTTGGGGTTTGGGGTTTAAGGTTTAGGGTGAATTTCAGGGAGCTTGGCACCCAAACGAGCCCGACGCTCGTTTGGGTGGCACGGGTCGGAGAGGGTTTTTAGGGTTTTTAAGGCTTAGGGCTTAGGGTTTTGGGTTTACGGTTTAGGCTTCAGGGTACAAGAACACTCGGCCCTGCGCAGGTCCCCAACGTTGCGCGTGCACCTTGGACACAGACGGCACGTGCACCCTGGACACGGGCCGCGCGCGTGCAGCTTGGAAGTGGCGCCCCCCAGGGCCGTAGTAGACGCCGTGGTCCATGTAGTCGCCGAGGTCCACGCAGAAGGTTCAGAGTTTAGGGTCTTGGGTCTTGGGTTTTGGGTTTTGGGTTTAGGGGGTTTAGAAGCCTTAGCGGCCTTGGGGGTTTAGGGGCGGTAAGGGTCTTAGGGGTTTGGGGTTTTAAGGTTTAAGGTTTGAGGGTATACACCCAAGACAGGCAGAGGCATATCCAATGCTACTTGGTGTTGTGGGTACGGCACTACATTAGATTAGTTTTTTCCCTTTCCCCAAAAGAGGTACCGCACGAGGACTATAGAATCATCCCTAAACCGCCTCTAGAAGGGGATGTAGCTGATTCAATGTTTTGGTTTCTCTGTCGTCCAGGCTTCTCCGAAGAATTCCTCCTCGGCATGACATGGGGATCCATTGAAGAAAGCCTTAGGGGTTAGGGTCTAGGCGTTAGGGTTTAGGGTTTAGGTTTAGGGTCTAGGGTTTAGGGCTAGGGGTTAGGGTTTTGGGCTTAGGGTTTGTTAAGGGTTCAGGGTTTAGGGTTTAGGGTTTAGGGTTTAGGGTTTAGGGTTTAGGGTTTAGGGTTTAGGGTTTAGGGTTTAGGGTTTAGGGTTTAGGGTTTAGGGTTTAGGGTTTCGGGTTTCGGGTTTCGGGTTTCGGGTACTTGCGGGGGACACATCGAGTTGAGGTCCCAAAGAAACCTAAACCCCCACTAAACCCTAAACCCTAAACCTAAACCCTAAACCCTAAACCCTAAACCCTAAACCCTACACCCTAAACCCTAAACCCTAAACCCTAAACCCTAAACCCTAAACCCTAAACCCTAAACCCTAAACCCTAAACCCTAAACCCTAAACCCTAAACCCTAAAGCAAAGAAAGCAGGGGGGGAAGCGGCCTCGACAACCCAGCTGCCCACGCCGCCGAGCCCTAGGTGCGGGCTGTGTAGGGTTTTGGGGCTTCTATGGGGGTTTCCGAAATTAGGGTTTAGGGTTTAGGGTTTAGGGTTTAGGGTTTAGGGTTCAGGGTTTAGGGTTTAGGGTTAGGGCTAAGGGTTTAGGATTTAGGATTTAGGGTTTAGGTTTGCGAAATTAGGGTTTAGGGTTTAGGGTTTAGGGTTTAGGGTTTAGGGTTTAGTTTTCCGAAATTAGGGGTACCTTATTGGGCTCCTTATTATAAAAGAATCCTACTATTTGGGGGTCTATATTAGGGGTCCCTTTTCGCTTTACTTCGTAAACCCCAACATGTAAGCCCGATATGGCCGAGTCTACGGGTTTTGTGGTTGGTTATGGGCTTTGTAGGGCTTATGGGGTTTGTAGGGCCTATAGGGTTTGTAGGGTTTACAGGCGTTATAGCGTTTAGCGTTCCGAGGCCTGGAGTTTAGGGCTCAGGGCCTTTGGTGTATGGCTAAGGGGGGGTTTAAGTAGGGCCTTGGGATGTGCAGGATGTTGTGTTTTAGGGTCTTGCAGATTTCGGGGTTTTGGCGTTTGAGGGTTTAGGCCAAGCAGAGGACACTTGGGCCGGCTCACCCCCTGCAGCTCGCAGAAGCAGGGAGGCGAGCGAGTGCCATGGCTCATAGGCCCTCAGCCTTTGTCCACGCAAAAGCCTAAAGCCTAAAGCCTAAAGCTTATAAAGGGAGGTAGGAGCCGCCCCGCAAAAGCCTCATGTAGTCCCTATAGATACGCCGAAGCCCTAAGCCCTAAACTGTACCTAGGGAGGCTATGGTATTCAAGTCCATAGGGTGTGGAGCTTGGAGGTTTAGAATTTCCCTAAGCCCTACCCTAAACCCTAAACCTAAACCCTAAACCCTAAACCCTAAACCCCAAACCCCAAACCCCAAACCCCAAACCCCAAACCCCAAACCCCAAACCCCGAACCCTACCCCCCCCGCCCCCACGCGTCTGCAAGCACCGCGCCCAGCACCGCGGCATGCGCTCGCTGAAGCCGCCGGAGGGCCGTTGCCTTGCCATCCCTTTATAAAGGGGGTTTAGGGTTTACGGTTTAGGGTTTAGGGTTTAGGGTTTAGGGTTTAGGGTTTAGGGTTTAGGGTTATAAGGTTTAGGGTTTAGGGTTTAGGGTTTAGGGTTTAGGGTTTAGGGTTTAGGGTTTAGGGTTTAGGGTTTCAAGGTTTAGGGTTTAGGGTTTCAAGGTTTAGGGTTTAGGGTTTAGGGTTTCAGGGTGAGGGTTTCAGGGTCCAGTGCCTCGCTGTTTACTTAGTGGAGTAGCCATCTTGTAATAAAGGGACCCTTGTTGGGTTTAGGGTTTAGGGTTTAGGGTTTAGGGTTTAGGGTTTAGGGTTTAGGGTTCAGGGTTCAGGGTTCAGGGTTCAGGGTTCAGGGTTCAGGGTTTAGGGTTTCGGGTTTCGGGTTTAGGGTTTAGGGTTTAGGGTTTACGGTTTAGGGTTTAGGGTTTAGGGTTTAGGGTTTAGGGTTTAGGGTTTAGGGTTTAGGGTTTAGGGTACTAAACCCAGAACCAAAATCATGGTAAGGGGTACCACTGGGCTACCAAGCTCAGGATTTACTTGCAGGTTCAGGGCACTTAGTACCCCAAATCTAACTGTACTCCTAACCCGAAAATAACCCTATGAGGGTACTTTGGAGGCTTATATGTGCGATAGAACTAGACTTATAATTGGCTACTAAGTACCCTGAACCTCCAAGTATGTAGAGACCCATGCCGTGATAACAGTGTAAATAGAGCCAGCTCAGCAAGCCGCTTTTGACGCAGGAGCCCAGCCCACAAAATGGATCCGAAACCCGAAGACCTGACATGCTAAACCTTTAGGGTTGGGGTTTGGGGTCTGGGGTCTGCGGTTTAGGGTTTAGGGTTTAGGGTTTAGGGTTTAGGGTTTAGGGTTTAGGGTTTAGGGTTTAGGGTTTAGGGTTTAGGGTTTAGGGTTTAGGGTTTAGGGTTTAGGGTTTAGGGTTTAGGGTGACCCTTGAAACCTACGCAAATTTCCGAGACTTCGCCCAAGTCGCGCCCAGGAGCAAGGCCACGCCGCGGAATCGCAGCTCCCGAAGCTCGGCCTGGCACCACACAGAGTTTAGGGATGAGGGGGGTTAGGGTTTAGGGTTTAGGGTTTAGGGTTTAGGGTTTAGGGTGGTTGAGGGTGGTTTAGGGTGGTTTAGGGTGGTTTAGGGTTGTTTAGGGTGGTTTAGGGTGGTTTAGGGTTGTTTAGGGTTGTTTAGGGTTGTTTAGGGTTGTTTAGGGTTGTTTAGGGTTGTTTAGGGTTGTTTAGGGTTGTTTAGGGTTTAGGGCTCAGGGTTTAGGGTTTAGGGTTTAGGCATTCTACGGCAGCAAGACGCATGGCTATTACATGCTGGGCATGAATCGGCTGCAGCCCTGGAACCCCTCAACCCCTAAATCCCTACACCCCTACACCCCTAAGCCCTAAATCCCTAAACCCTAAACCTCTAAATCCCTAAACCCCTACACCCCTACACCCCTACACCCTTAAACCCCAAACACCTCCTGAGCTGAGAGCCCGGATGGGGCGAATCCTTAACAAGCACTCAGGTTCTAGGGTTTAGGTTTTAGGTTTTAGGGCTTAGGGCTTAGGGTTGAGAGGGATACGGTTTGACCACTTGCCCATCCTCCTCGTCCGTCCCCGCAGCGCGCCGGACACACCTCCAGCAGCCAACACTCACACAACTGGTGATCGGGGAGCTTTTGGGGTGGGGGTTTAGGGTGTAGGGTTTAGGGTTTAGGGTTTAGGGTTTAGGGTTTAGGGTTTAGGGTTTAGGGTTTCAGGTTTCGGGTTTAGGGTTTAGGGTTTAGGGTTTAGGGTTTAGGGTTATAAGGTTTAGGGTTTAGGGTTTAGGGTTTAGGGTTTAGGGTTTAGGGTTTAGGGTTTAGGGTTTAGGGTTTAGGGTTTAGGGTTTAGGGTTTAGGGTTTAGGGTTTAGGGTTTAGGGTTTAGGGTTTAGGGTTTAGGGTTATAAGGTTTAGGGTTTAGGGTTTAGGGTTCAGGGTTTGGGTTTATAAGGTTTAGGGTTTAGGGTGTAGTGGTGGGCTTAGGGGTGTAAGGTTTAGGGTTTAGGGCACCGCCTCGGAACACCGATGCACCCTGGACAGAGGTGACCTAACAGCGGAACCCACAAACCCTCGGCCCTGAACACCCTAGATCCTAGACGCTAGACCTCACCTAAGAACCCAAGACCCTAAGCCCCATACCCGTCAGACGACGACCCTACGACCCTAAGACCCTCAGACCCTAGGACCCTAAGACCCTAAGACCCTAAGACCCTCAGACCCTAAGACCCTAAGACCCTAAGACCCTCAGACCCTAAGACCCTAAGACCCTAAGACCCTAAGACCCAAAGACCCAAAGACCCCAAGACCCCGACGAGCCTCAACCCGAAATCGAACTCCCTAGATGTTGGGGTTTAAGGGTTCGGGATGCTCCTCACGGAGCCCGAACCCCTCGACCCTAATCATACTCAACGTGGGTTTAGGGTTTCGGGTTTAGGGTTTAGGGTTTGGGGTTTAGGGTTTAGGGTTTAGGGTTTAGGGTTTAGGGTTTAGGGTTTAGGGTTTAGGGTTTAGGGTTTAGGGTTTAGGGGGTTAGGGTTTAGGGTTTAGGGTTTAGGGTTTAGGGTGGTTTTCCCAAGAATCCCGTCCCCCCCCCCCCCCTCCCCCCCACAACAAAAAAAAACTAGCGCCTCATTATCCTGTCCCCAGGCTTCGCCGGCTTTCTTACCTGTGGACGCGAGGCCTGAAAAGTAAAGCCAGGTCAGGAGGTTGTCCCAAAACCCCAAAACCCCAAAACCCCAAAACCCCAAAACCCCAAATACCCTAAACCTTAAACCCGCAACCCAAGGCCTTGCAGCCCCAAAGGAAACAGGGTTTAGTGTTTAGGGATTCTTTCGGGTTTAGGGTCGAGGGTTTAGGGAGGGGGAGGGGCGTGGGCCATGGGGTGGGGGGAGGGGGAGGGAACGCCAGTGCTGACGCAGAACCCCTTAACCATGAAGTCTATGAATCCCATCCCCCCAGGCCTACAAACCCAGAACCTCAGGGGGGTCAAGAATCGCACCGCTACGGGTCTTATCCCTAAAGGTTTCCCCGAATATGCAGCTTACATTGCCTTAGGAATACTCAAAAATGGTCCCCAAACCCAAGGGTACCACCTTAGGGGTCCAACTCACAGTCCCTTGAAAACCCTGAAAAACCCTAAACTGCCCTAAGCCCTAAGCCCTATGCCCTAAACCCTAAACCCTAAACCCTAAACCCTAAACCCTAAACCCTAAACCCTAAACCCTAAACCCTAAACCCTAAACCCTAAACCCTAAACCCTAAACCCTAACATGACCCAAGCCCTCCACGACCTCACGGGCCTCAGCCATCAACTCGAGGAGTTGAGCTTAGCGTTTAATTAGGGTTTAGGGTGTAGGGTTTAGGGTTTAGGGTTTGGGGTTTAGGGTTTGGGGTTTAGGGCTAGGGTTTATAGAAATTGTATAGGGTTTGGGTCCCGGTAATGTTTTGAGAGAAACGTTTTGAGAGAGTTTTTTTGTTGCTTCTTATTTCCTTGCTTCTGGGGCCGGGATCAGAGGAGGAAAGAGACCATGGCTCGGACATGCCAAAAACGTGTCTGCCAGCCGGCACCCCCTGAAACCCCTGAAACTCTTCTAGAACTCTCCTGAAACCCCGGACCCCTGAAACCCCTGAAACCCCTGAAACGCCCTGGGACCCCCACCCTTCTGGGACTTGGACCGGGAGGGGGGGGGGGGGGTTCAAGTAACTTGAGCATTTGGCCGTCCAGGCGCTTTGGATTAATTTATTCCAACTCTGTTTGTCAGCTGTGTAGACAAATATCTGCGAAAGTTCAGAATGATACCACGTACAATTTCTATTTAGTTTTGTCTTGAGGGTTTAGGGTTTAGGGTTGAGGGTTGAGGGCTGAGGGTTTAGGGTTTAGGGTTTCGGGTTTAGGGTTTAGGGTTTAGGGTTGAGGGTTGAGGGTTTAGGGTTTAGGGTCGCCATGAAGCAAGCCCTAAGAACTAAACCCCAACCCTAAGCCCTACACCCTAAATAGCCCTGAAGGATCCGGCCTTCCCTTTGCAGGCGCCACGGGAACTGGGGGAAGGAAACCTGCTTCCGCTTGAGGGTTTTGGGGTTTAGGGTTTAGGGTTTCGGGTTTAGGGTTTAGGGTTTCGGGTTTAGGGTTTCGGGCATTGGTAGGGCTTTGCTTATGGGTCTTATCAAGGTCTCTAGAGATTTCGTGAGCCAAAGCAGCGCAGAGCTGAAAGGATTCATGAGGCATGGGGCAAAGCTTAGACTACACCCAAGTTTGCCCAACCTCCCCGCACCTTGGTGATGTGGATACCCGTGATCCTTCAAGCAGCACCTAAGCCCTGCCTTTCTCATAATTCGTCGCGCCTGACTCCCCCTGTAGACAAATCTGTGTTTTTGGAATTCAGGGTTGAGGGTTTAGGGTTTAGGGTTTAGGGTTTAGGGTTTAGGGTTTAGGGTTTAGGGTTTAGGGAAACGAAGGTCTTGACTTGCATGACATGGCCCTCCAGCCAACCTTCCCTAGGCCTCGCGGCCCAGCTCTCCGCTGAGGTCGTCACTTGGGCGTCAGAGACCATGAGATGGTCATGTCTCAACCCATCGCGTAGCGTCGTGATGGATGAGCTTCCTCCGGGCGTTCTTGATGAACTTGGTAGGGTTTAGGGTCTAGGGTTTAGGGTTTAGGGTTTAGGGCTTAGGGGTTGGCACGGGTAGAGCTCCTCCGGCTTGTCGTGTGGGTGTGGAGCGAGGACGCTGCGCCTGAGCTCCCCCAAGCGGACCCTGCTTCGTCTTCTTCTCCATCGTGTCGGGGGCCTTTCTTCTTCTCGCAGCCCTTTTGGGTACCCTAAATAAGAGGGGCCGCCTTATAGTAAGGACCCCAAAAGGGACCATAATTTTAGAGAAGCATCCATAAGGAAACGAGGGGTTTAGCATTCGGAAGAAAACCTGAAACCCGAAATCCGAAAAGCCCACACCCAGCCCGAAGCCTGCAAGAACCCGAGGCCCGAAGGAGCCTGGCAGTGTCCCGGCCACGCTGCGCAGGAACATGGCGGCGTTGCTCAAGGCCGTTCAAGGCTGGGTTTAGGGTTTAGGGTTTAGGGTTTAGGGTTTAGGGTTTGGGGTTTGGGGTTCAGGGTTTAGGGTTTCGGCTTTAGGCTTTAGGCTTTAGGCTTTAGGCTTTAGGCTTTAGGCTTTAGGCTTTAGGCTTTAGGCTTTAGGCTTTAGGCTTTAGGCTTTAGGCTTTCTTGGCCTAAAGCTCTGAAACCCTACATATACATCCTGGAGCCCTCAACTAAGCCCTAAACGCTAACTAGCACCGAAGCCCTACACCCTAAAGCCCTAAACCCTACAACCCTCTAAAGCTCTAAACCCTGAGCCTAAAAACTCCAAACCCTGAACCCAAAAGCTCTAACCCCCAAACCCTACAGCCCAAAACCTAAAACCAAAAACCCGAAGGCTCAACCCTAAAGCTCTAACCCTAAAGCCCAAAGGCACTCAACGTTCTGAGTCCCCCTAAGCTGGCGCCTGGAACGCTGCAACACCAGCGCCAGGAAGGGAAAGGAGGTTTAGGATTGAGGGTTTGGGGTTTAGGGTTGAGGGTTTAGGGTTTAGGGTTTAGGGTTTGGGGTCTAGGGTTGGGGTACCTCTTCCCTGCACGGGGCGTGCACCTTTAATGAATGAGCCCAAAACCCTAAACCCTAAACCTTGAATAGTTTAGGGAAGCCTGAAGGGGATGGTTGGAGCCCTACGCTCCTGCCCTAAACCCTAAACCCTAAACCCTAAACCCGAAACCCTAAACCCTAAACCCTAAACCCTAAACCCTAAGCCCTGGTGCAGTGCTTGCTCCACGCGTCCCACAGTCCGAGGCGCCAACTTTGTGTCTGCGACCACTCGGAGGAAGCTTGCAGCTACGTCCCAGCGTACGAAGACCAAAAGGATCTGGTGTAGGGTTTAGGGTTTAGGGTTTAGGGTTTAGGGTTTAGGGTTTAGGGTTTAGGGTTTAGGGTTTAGGGTTTAGGGTTTAGGGCTTAGGGCTTAGGGCTTAGGGCTTAGGGTTCAAGAGCTCCTGGTCGAGCAGTTTCGCGTTTAGGTTCGCTGCTTAGACCATCGAAAAAACACCCACCTACCCGGAGTTCCCATAACATTAAGAAATACAAGGCTTCTTCTTATTATTAGGATGGCTCAACAACAAAACTAATAGGGTTCGCAAGGGTTTAGGGTCTCAAGGGTTTAGGGTTTCAAGGGTTTAGGGACTCAAGGGTTTAGTGTCTCAAGGGTCTAGGCTCTCAAGGTTTTAGGGTCTCAAGGGTTTAGGTTCTCAAGGTTTTAGGGTCTCGAGGGTTTAGGGGCTCAAGGGTTTAGGGTCTCAAGGGTTTAGGGGCTCAAGGGTTTAGGGCGGTTTAGGGGCTCAAGGGTTTAGGGTCTCAACGGTTTAGGGGCTCAAGGCCGGGCCTTGCCCACGAATCTTTGGGCCTTGCCCACGAATTTTTGTGCCTTGCCCACGAATTTTGGGGCCTCGCCCGCGAATATTTGGGCCTTGCCTACGAATTCTTGGGCCTTGCCCACGAATTTCTGGGCCTTGCCCACGAATATTTCGGCCGCCCACGAATTTTTGGGCCTTGCCCACGAATATTTGGGCCTTGCCCACGAATATTTGGGCCTTGCCCACGAGTTTTTGGGCCTTGCCCACGAATATTTGGGCCTTGCCCACGAATTTTTGGGCCTTGCCCGCGAATTTTTGGGCCTTGCCCACGAATTTTTGGGCCTTGCCCACAAACCAAAAGGCCCAAAAATTCGTGGGCAAGGCCGAAAATTTGCCACGAGTTTTTGGGCCTTGCCCACGAATATTTGGGCCTTGACCACGAATTTCTGGGCCTTGCCCACGAACATTTCGGCCTTGCCCACGAGTTTTTGAGCCTTGCCCACGAATATTTCGGCCTTGGCCTTGCCCACGAATATTTGGGCCTTGCCCACGAATATTTGGGCCTTGCCCACGAATTTTTGGGCCTTGCCCACGAATATTTGGGCCTTGCCCACGAGTTTTTGGGCCTTGCCCACGAATATTTGGGCCTTGCCCACGAATCTTTGGGCCTTGCCCACGAATACCATTAAGGTCTATCATTATATGGTAGGAGAGGTTTAGGGTTTAGGGTTTAGGGTTTAGGGTTTAGGGTTTAGGGTTTAGGGTTTAGGGTTTAGGGTTTAGGGTTTAGGGTTTAGGGTTTAGGGTTTAGGGTTCAGGGCATTTGGGTTTAGGGTTTAGGGCATTTGGGTTTAGGGTTTAGGGTTTAGGGTTTAAGAGGTTTAGGGCTTTAGGGCATTTGGGTTCTGGGTTGAGGGTTTTTGCTGCTTTGGGCTTGGAGGCTCCCCCGACAAGATTCCTATACCCTTAATGCTCTGAACGACAGGCTCTGTCGTGTTTACCCTAAACCCTAAACCCTAAACCCTTTAGGGCCTGAGACGGCGGCAAGCCACTTGGCATGTACTGTCTGAGCTCTCGCTCCCGCCAGCTGCGTCAAGCCGAAGGAACGGTAGAGAGTAGAGAGGTTTACTGGGTGGAGGAGGGTTTAGGGTTTAGGGTTTAGGTTTTAGGGTTTAGGGTTTAGGGTTTAAGGTTTAGGGTTTAGGGGTTAGGGGTGTCGGGTTAGGGGGCTAGTTATATCTTTAATGTGATTTTTTCTTGGGGGTACGTGGCTCAGATTCTATCATGACCCCGCACGCAGAGTAAGGCCCAGAAATGACCCTTCAAGAGGTACCTTTCGGGCCTTCGCCTGGGAACCCTGATGACCGACCTATAGGCACAGACATGCTTGCGATCTGCAAAACCTGTACACCCTAACCCCTGCTCGCGGTTCGAAGGTCCAGGGTTCAGAAGCGAGGGCTTTAACGGTTTAGGGTGCGGAGATGGAACTTGTATTTCAGGGAAGGTTGAACAAAGGGTCAATGCACCCGGTAATACGTGGCTCAAGGATGGCCGCGTGCTGTCCAGCAAAAAAGTGTGCGTACCTGGGGTTGGGGTGTAGGAACTCTAGGTCTCCTCTCCTTTTCCTCTTGGTAAACCTTAATCTCCTCTTGGTGTGGTTCGGTTCAGGGAGTTCATCTAGGCAACTGTTGAGGGTTGATACCTTTGTTCGGTTGCCCCCGTATAGGGGGTAGGGGTTAAGGGTTTCGAAGGGGTTCAGGGTGTAGGTTTGGGGTTCAGGGTTTAGGGCTCAGGTTTAGGGTTTAGGGTTTAGGGTTTAGGGTTTAGGGTTTAGGGTTTAGGGTTTAGGGTTTAGGGCTTAGGGCTTAGGGATTAGGGTTTAGGGTTTAGGGTTTAGGGTTTAGGGCTCAGGGTCTGGGGTTTACCTTCCGTGGCTCCTCCAGCAACTGCGCAGCGGAAACCTCACATGTGCAGTACCGCCAAGACAGGGTTCGGAGTACGTAACCCAAACCGGAAAAAGGAATCCTTGAAACGCCCTGACAAGACTCAAAGTACGTCAGAAGAGCGTTTTTGAAGCCGTTTAGAGCTGCTTAGACTCAACAGAGCTTGAAGTCGTTGAAACCAATTGACAACTAACCTTAACACGGACCCTTAAAGGCCCTCAGCATCGTCTTTTCTAACAATTCGGGTTGAGTTTGGAGTTGTATAGCCCTAAACCCTAAACCCTAAACCCTAAACCCTAAACCCTAAACCCTAAACCCTAAACCCCTAAGGCTGAGTTTGGAGTTGTATAGGAAGCATGTCAGCACACTGCACCCACTGCTTGGCGGCGCTTCTTGAAACGCATCAAGGGACTAAAGGGGGACCCTTCTGAGGGACCTTAGGGGTTCTTTAGGGGTTCTTTAGGGGTTCTTTAGGGTTTCTTCGGGGTTCTTTAGGGTTCTTTAGGGTTCTTCAGGGACTACTTCCGTATATATAGTGGCTATAATTAGAAGGTATGTGTAGGGATCATACAGGGGAATAAGATTATAAAGAGGTCCCTACTCGGGGTCCCTCCTTATACCAAAGATCGTCTTGCACCAGTTCGCCTGCTGCTCTTTGAGCAGCGACAGTTAAACGTTTTCAACGCGCCCTACTACGCCCAAACCTGCCCCTCCCCCCTCCTTGCGAAAGCCCTTCAAGCCTGTCACCCCCCCCAAAACCCTAAACCCTGAACCCCTTAAACCCTAAACCCAAACCCGCAAAACCCAGAACCCAAAACCCCTGAACCGGCTGCTGCGTGCTCACCCCCAACCACCGGTTTCAAACATTTGCGAGCGTAGGGCAAAGAGCACGGGAACCCCACTTTCTGGGTCCAGCCCTTGCGTCCCCTCTTCGAAGGGCACCCAAGAATTAAATGTGGCACCAGCCGCTGCGCCGAACGACCACCTGACCAGATAAAGGGTGCAAACGGTTTAGGGTTTAGGGTTTAGGGTTTAGGGTTTAGGGTTTAGGGTTTAGGGTTTAGGGTTTAGGGTTATTGGAAACCTACGCTAACTGTAAATCCAGTACTGCCCTAATATAGGGGCCTGAATAATAAGAATGCGGTCTTGCGGGTTCTTGTAGTACATTCATGAAGGGACCATAAGGGAACATTTTTAGTAATTATTCCGAGCCCTTTCTTAAAGCCTCAACCCTCGAACCGAATATCCTTGCCCCCTGAGCCCATGTTGTGTTCTTCAGCCCGGGCGCTTCACGAGACTGTCTACTATTTGCTCAAGAGCCCCGCAAAAATAAAACATTCTTCCTTGTAAAGGCAACTCTAGCGATTATGGTTCCTTGTGTTTTGGGTAGTTCTTAAGCATGTAGCTGTAGGGTTCAGGGACACCCTGCACTTCAACTCGGCTTTAGGGTTTAGGGTTTAGGGCTTAGGATTTAGGATTTAGGGTTTCGGGTTTAGGGTTTAGGGTTAGGGCCAAATTTAGGGGTTAGGCTTGACGCGTGTAGAGCGGGCTCGTGGTTGAAGGGTTCAAGCCTCCCGTCGTAGGTTCGCTGTCTAAGGACCACGGCCCTAAAGCAACCACCCCCCACAACCTACAAAGGTACCCCTGTCCTAACCCTAAATCCCAAACCCCTGAACCCGAAA